CCATATGGTAACACCATCGCAAGTGCAGATCTTCTTATAATTTTCACCGACTCCTGCACTCCTTGCTATTACTGCAGCTGTGATGCCCGGGTCCGATTTGTCTTCAGTTTCATAAATCACAATTGAGCGGCCAATGAGATCAGCAACCCTAATCATTGCTTTAGAACCTGAGAAGTTGGCTTCACCTGTCCCTAGAGCTTCTAGTGTTCCCAGGTCGCCAAGGGGCTGTGCAGATCAAACCAGAATATTCAAGGCATTTCTACTTCCAACAATATGATATGACACAATGGAAAAAGTAAAACAAAATATTTCAGATATTTCAAATTCCTGTCTTTGTTATCTTCCCCGTGTTAAATAACCTTATATTGTATGAACTATATACTAGAGGGTGGTTGAGGCTCTCTACAAGTGGGTTCCTACAGTAATCAAGAATTCAAGATTTCTACAGAAGTGTCAAGATGCAAAAATAATTCTGCTTAGTGATTACAGCATGCAATTTCACGACAAAGATTGAAAAGAAAAATATCCTCAACCATTCATACAGTTCTGTAGGTTCACTAAAATGTGATTAAACATAAAACATGACAAAGAAATGTCTCCAAATATTTATCCCAAACAACTAAATGGAGTTCAAAGTCAAATACAGATTGACAATCAAAATGCTAATGCCAAGGAGATATGCATTGAAGAACTTAACTACTTTCACAAGCTAAATGCTAAAATTCAGTGCAGGCAGATCCATGCAGTTAATAACTGCAACATCAACAAGCAAATGCACACACATAGTATGCAACTGCAAGGATGAGAGACAAATTTTCATTAGTAAAATGGTTTGGAAAAACACAAAAAATCATGGTAAATGATACCGTTTCAGATATATGATCTGGTGGATTAAAATTTTTCCCAGTGCTTGCTGCTCCCTTGGTCAAATCCCCAAACTCATTTATGCTCCATGCATGCTTGCCAGGGGATAAACCACTAAAGCTGGCCTCAATTCTTGCTAGTTCCATACTCACTTGGGCCAGGCGTACAACACCATATATTACAGGGCCTTTAAACTCAGCAACAGCAGCAGAAACTAAAAAGTCTACAAAAGATGGTAATTACAGTCAGTCACTTTGACTATCAATAGACAGAAATAACATCATTTTTGAATTATAAACTACAAAATAATTTGCAACAACAAATTCTTCATTTCAACCTTTTGGTTTGGTCAACTACATTAAATGCATGACTTCCATACAAAGGTGTCCACATGCTTTGACTGAAGGACTATCAATTCACCAACTAAATATATGTACTTGGGAGGAAAACAAACTGTAAGAAAATCCACAAGATAAAAATCATTTAAAGATCTTTTGCTTTTTTTAACATCAATCAATCACCAAATCAAGCATCAGTATTCTGCAGCAACTCTGCAGATATTAAATGTTTCAGATAAAATCCTATAGAAGAATGAACCAGCTGGCCAACCATGTAGTTTGCAACTCTTTCTAGAATGAGCACATATTATTCCATAACTTGTGCCTTACATGAATATAAAGTTCCTATATGTTACAAAATGCACAAAAATACAAATTTAGTGTATCATATACTGCACTTAAAAACAATTTATTGAAGATCAAATGATTTTAATGTTGGTCATGATCTTATAAAAACATGCTTAAATCTTTACTTCTAAGGTTTAAAATACCAGTCTGATAGGCACGTGCTGATTGAAACATAGTTTAATATCAGTAAAGATATGGTTCATTTGGTTATTCAATAAAACTTGGTAGTGCAGGTCGTATTACCATCCGATATGTATCAGTATCATCGAAATCTGATAGGTTACTAAAACCAGTATCAGACTTGTATTTAAAACTGTGCTATATCTTAAATAAATTCAACTCAGATGCTCATAATAGTTGAAAAAGAAGCTCTTATTTCGACTATGTTTAAGGCTTTGCAAAATATAGGAATGACCAACCATTGGGGTTGCCTTGTCCAACTAATCGGGCATTACGGCCAGTGTGAGCAAGAGCATCTTCCATGTCCTTCACAGGAATCGAGCCAAGGACTCTCACTACTTGATTGCTCAAATCTACATCAACATTTTTAATTCCTGTTTGCACAAAAACAGTGTGCATAATCAGCTGAAAGCATGATACAAACAACTATTAGGAATGGTTTCAGCCCATTAGCAGAAACCCATAAAACAACAAAGATGATGACAATGTGTATGTCCAACAAGTCTCTATAGATGAAGTTTACTGATTATATACCATCAAGCTTAAGAAGATTATCCTTTACCGCCGAAACACAGCCTTCACATTTCATATCCACCATGAACTCTGTCTAAAACCATAAACGATTATTTAGAACAAAGAGATGAACAAGATCAAGCAAGCATATAGAACAGAGTGTAAAAAAACCGGTACAGTAGTTCAATTAGCCAATATTTCTGTTAATCATTAGAAGGTTTCCATTAATGCAGTGACATCCAGACTCCATTCGACCTCGAAAATACATGTCAAATAGATACTTGCTTCACTAATATGCATTAGACGCTTGGACAACCATTGTCAAAATGGGCCCAACTAATTCATAAGGACTTTATTTGTTTCTGATCTTGGATTTAATTTATTACCAATCTTGATGATATACTAATGCCAAGTTGTTGTCACGCTCATAGGAATAGAAAGCAGCTATTATGAAGCTTTCCTAGATCTAAAGCTTGTTTCAGAGGTCTTCATATAATATCTTACTCAGTGTAAGTTAAAAGACGAAAATACACCTTAAGAAAGACAATAACAAACAAGGTGCTACTACACTGGTTTACAAGAAGTCAAATGTGGCTTAATTGTAGCAGATCAGTGCATTAAAAATATACAATTTTTAAGGCAGATATGTTTGAGCTATTGTTGAACTTACTAATCCAGTCAGTAAGCATTCAACTGCTACTTCAGATATAAATGCTCCGAGAACATTAAGAAGCATTCTGCTTAAGCATATTCAAAACCATATTGAAGCATTTTTCTCCACTTAGTATTGAAGCATTCTGCTCCACTTAAATACCTTCAAATCAACCCAAAAACCTGAAGAACTTTAGTGCTAGGCCAACCAGGTCTACAGAAGTCTTTAACAGTGGTGGAACTTCATAAGACATCATCCAAGTCGAAGTTGTAAGAATACTCTAATGTACCAAATGACAATGAGTGATTTCCTTCTATTGTTTCAATATCTACATATACATATAGTAAATTCAACTCTAGTAACAAGAAGAGCATAGATTATGAAAATAAAGAACTTATTCTTGCACAGATCTTAGGATGACACAGAATGGAGTTATGGGAGGAAAAACATTAATGGAGACATATTCGAAACCATAAATTTGAAATCTCCACATCTCCATTGTTTGGATAAAACAAGTCTAGATCTTTATCCCAGTTTTCTCATGGTATAATAAAACAACATTTGCATATGCTCATGTCAAAGAAATGGATTCAGCTTCCTCAACAAAAAAGGAAAAAGAAAAAAGAAGCATAATCAACTGTTGTGCTGCAGTTATTTAGGTTACAAGAATTATCAAGCTAACGGAACATCTGCATGAAAAGATATTATATTCATGTTAATGAAGTGCGAAGATATGTCCTTATTTATGCTTTACACACACATGCACACAGAATTGTCTGTCAGACAGCTTGTTACTACTATTAGTTGTCCCTTTTGCACAGTGGCCAAAGGCAATCATACAATTTTGCACTACTTCAGGTGGAAAGAAGCATTAGTCATAGACTGAGATACAAATATTCCTAGATTATATTCACAGTTTAGTCCTAAGAATTACCTTCAGTACCTGAAAAAGAATCAGGTCAGTACAAAACTCTAACAATCATCTCCCAGAAGACCAAGTTTTCAAGCATGAAATCTCTTGAATTTCAAATGGTGGCATCACAAGCAAAGCATTTTGCGCAACAAAATACAATCTTTAGGAACTTCCCCTCGCAAAAAGAACCACTCAAATACTAGGACCACCATAAAAATGAAGTCAAGGTAGAGACAAAGAAAAAAGGGTAGTTGACGAGCCAAAAGAGACTTGCTTACCATAAGCTCCGGCAAAACCCCATCTTGCTGCAAGAGAAGCCAAAAATCAGAAACGATGAACCGAATTGAGCACGAGCATCGATGCCCGGTACTGGAGAACCACGGACGGAGGGACATGAGGCTCACCTGCACGGCGGAGGGTTTCAGCTCCGTGGCCGAGGAATCCATGCGGAGGGCGGCGAAGGGGAGCCTCCGGGTCGCCGATGCGGTGCGAAGAGAGATGGGGAGCTTGGTCGGGAAGGGAGAGTAAGAACAAGAGGAAGAGGAGAGGGTTAACGCTGCGATCGCTACGGGGAGAGAAGAGACGCTTAAGATTTTGAGAACAGCTACCATTTTTCGTCCTCTTAATGAGGGTTTGGTTTCGCACTCCCTTCTCCGATTCACTCTTTTATTACTTGCTTTATAATTCTTTTTCCTAAAGCTTTTTATCCTATTCACTATCCCGTATTATATTGTGGAGAGTATAATTTTTGTGGAGTTTCTTTTTTTATTATTATAATCCTTCTTTTATTCGGCCCTTTGCAGAAGGTTCTGGAAGTATCTTGAGAAATCCAGCGGCCCGGTAGCTCGAAACCTAGACCGCGCTTCTCAATTGCGACGTACGTGGATTGTAATTGGAGGCAGGATTGGGTCCCACCTCGAGTGTTCCGGTTCCTGCGATAATGGCCATCATCGGGCTTTCACGAATCGCAATGGCGGGTTTTATAAAATCAGAGAACAGTGATGAGATCGATTGATCGGCGGTCGGGATTGTCCGAGAGGTACGAGCCGAGGAGAGCCCACTGCGGCCTTCTTGACGACGTAAACGGGCCCACAACGACCATCGAATCAACGACCTCGTTCTCCGCCTCGTCCACTTTTCCAAACCGTTAATTCTCCACACCCCCCCCGCCCCTCGCCTCCCTCTTTCCACCTTCCCCTCATCCTCGTTCTTTCGCCTCCGAGTCTCACCGGTTTCTCCTCCGTCCTCGGCGAAACCCATCGAGAAGCAGAGCTTTGCGTTCAAAGATACAGAGGTTTCATCTCTCTCTCTCTCTCTCTCCATGGATAACCACAGCAAGCCGCACCACCCATATCCTGACGATCATCAAACCCCCTACCAATACCCACCGCCTCGCCAGCTCCTACCTTCGAACTCTTTCTCCCATCCGTCGCCCGTATCATCGCCCCAATCCCTCGACCACTCTGGCCCGTTGCGTCACCCCCTGCCGCCGCCCTATTCCCTTTACTACGCCCCTCTCTATCCTCCGGTCACGATGCCGCCTTATCCTCTGGCCACAGCTTCGCTTCATGATCCATACTTCAGTCCCCACGCCAATCATCAATCTCCTCACGCCTACCCACACCCAGTTTCCTTCGGTCCCAATTCCCCCAGCTTCCATCACCACCACTACCACTACCATCACCACCACGTCCCGGCCCCGGTCACCGGGCTTCCATTGCGCTCCAATAGCTTCTCCACCGACGAGCCGTCTCAACATCCCGCCCTTTCTGCTCAATCCTCCATGCCCTCCTCGTCCTTGGCGGCTAACCCGCTGGCGGACGTTCTTGAGAAAATCCGCGTCCCCGATCGGTGTTCCGACGCCTCTCCACTCGCCGCATCGCAGCAGCATCTGATGGTACACGGTCACCTGACCAATACCTTCCATGGGAGCTTCTCCTCGCCGCACTCCACCCCTCCCGGGAGCCCCTTCGGCAGTTCGTATCACGGGGCGAGCTTTGGCCGCGGCGTCTCGCTGATCGTGCCATATGCTCGGTCGCAAAAAGGCCAGGCGTCCCTCAAAGTGCTGCTCCTCCATGGGAGCCTCGATGTGTGGGTGTGCGAGGCGCGGTACCTCCCCAACAAGGACCAGTTCTCCAAGACCTTGGGGGACATGATCGGCCCACGGCTGTCTAAAACCTTGAGCGGCAAAATGCGGAACTTATCGTCGATGACCAGCGACCCCTATGTCAACATTATGGTGTGCGGTGCAACGATCGGCAGAACGTACGTGTTGAATAACACCGAGAACCCTGTTTGGATGCAGCATTTTAATCTTGCTGTAGCACACCATACCGCTGAGATTAGGTTCTTGGTCAAAGACAATGACATTGTCGGAGCACAGCTCATTGGTACTGTTTCGATCCCGGCTGAATGGATTTACTCTGGTGAGAGGGTGGAAGGTGTCTACCCAATTCTTGATTCAAATGGGAAGCAATGCAAGCCAGGAGCTGTCCTGAGGTTATTGATACAGTATTTTCCAGTGGGGAGGCTTAGCATGTACCATCATGGAATTAGTGCTGGCCCTGAGTACTGTGGGGTGCCAGGTACCTATTTTCCTCTCAGGAAAGCCGGGAAGGTTACACTTTATCAGGATGCTCATGTTCCTGATGGTTGCCTCCCCGAGTTGAAGCTTGAAAATGGGCAGAATTATGTTCACGGGAAATGTTGGCATGACATTTTTGATGCAATAAGCCAGGCTCATCGTTTGATTTACATCATCGGTTGGTCAGTTTTCCACATGGTCCGTCTAGTAAGGGATACTGGTTATGGCTCATCTCCAAATATTGGAGATCTATTGAAATCCAAGTCTCAGGAAGGTGTGAGAGTGTTACTTCTTCTGTGGGATGATCCAACTTCAAGGAGTATTTTGGGCATTCGTACAGTAAAGTTTTATATCCTTCTTTTTTTTAATATAATGTATCTTTAATTTTCATTTCTGATTGACTTTCCTCTATACTGAATTAGATGCAGATATTGTTGCACATGCTCTATTGATGCCCTATAGTTGATATTCTTTAAATCTTATGGAGTAGTTTGCCATTTGTAGCATATAATAGGGACAAGAACACACATACATCACTTCTGGAGCCTCTAATGAATAGATGCCGTTGTTAATTAAAATATTTTAAATCAAAATATTTTAATTATTGCTGTCATAATCATATCCTGGAACATATTTTCCAACTCTGCTTCTATATGTGATCTGGTGAATTGGCATATATGAGAATGAAGGGATCTTTTATGCAGCAAGTAAAACTTCTACAGCATCACAGTTTTACTTTTAAACTTAATTTATACACACTAAATTTGCAAGAAGGACAAATTAGCAAGGACTCTCAAGAGTTAATCTACTATTTAAATTGCTCTTATAATTCTTATTTGGAAACCAGGTTTTGAATCTTGACTTCCAGATTTCTCTTTAATGATGCTGATAAATACTGTCTTTTTTTTATAAAAGAGAAGAAATTTATATTATATTAAATAACATACATGATACTCACACGTGGATTTGGACCTAAGCCCTATCACTTGTGCAACAATACACCAACTAACTTGAATGTCTTAACAGAGACTTGATAAATACCGTCTTACTGTTATGTTTTTGCACTTTTTAGATGGTTTAATGTGCTTTTTCCTTGCATCTTATCCATTCATCTAAATTTTTTCTAAAAGTGCAACAAGTGCAAATATAAGTTGTGTACATACATATACATAAGTGTGCATATGTGCACATAAAGTATGTACACAGATGCACACGCCCTAGTGGTTCAGGTAAGTAATTAAAAATATAACACATTTTCTAAACTGGCAAAATTAAACCTGAACACTGTTTTAGTGCAACATGATCTTGCATGAAAAATGCTACTAGAGGATACACTGTGCAGTTGAATGAAAACTTAATAATATAGCACTGTTCAAGTCAATGCTTGGAACTGCTACATCTCCCCTCCCTTTATAAGCTTTATATGACCCCTATGTGGTGATAGCATCACTGATAATGGTCACTGTTATATTTTTTTGTAATTTCCCTAAGCATGGAGTCATGAACTGTATGATTTTTTGTGTAAACTTGTCTTGCTGTTTCTGTTGATCTTTTTGTTGAAACAATAACTATTTGTTATCATGCTCTAAGCTTTAAAAAATTATTCAGTGTTTGATCAATCTGTTGGGATAGTTATACTGCTGCATCTTTCTCTTGGTGTTATTCTCAACAAACATTACTGATTGTTATTTCAGAATTAAAGTTCAGTAATAGCTTCTAACTATAGCTATCCTGACATGGTATTCTGGTAGTTTTGAAGCTGCTTGTCAATTTTTGCTCATAACACATGCAGAATGGTGTCATGGGGACACATGATGAGGAGACTCGCCATTTTTTCAAACACTCTTCAGTGCAAGTGTTGCTTTGTCCTCGTTCTGCTGGAAAGCGGCACAGTTTTGTGAAACAACAGGTTGCTTCCTAGTATTGTGTCATCATCCTTATAAGTAACACAGAGTTAGTTTTTATTGTCCATGTCTCCATAATTCTATAATTTGTTCCTTCCTATCTAGTTTTTCTTGGATATGTGATTTACTTCGAACATGCTGCAGATATTACTTAGTTTTTGGTTACATATGCTATCAATTTATCCATGAGAAAGAATTTGAAAGCTTTATTGACAAAAAAGTATATGGTTGATGATTGTTAACTTATGCATGCTCCTGTTGGAGTGCTTAGGTAAATCTTGTTCATCGTCAGCCATATCATTGACCTGTGAATACATAAAGCTTGAGTAGAATCACATCCATGTTGCATACAATAACTTCATCTTATTTCTTATCATAATACTTGCAACAATGGCATTTCATACAGAAGCGTTTAAAAGGCTCATATCAGACCACTCACAACCTGAAATGTATGATCCACTTTTATTTTTAAAATAATATCAAATTTTTTATATAAGATGACTAGAAGGAAATTTGTCATAATGTAGTTAAAGAAGCAAAGGAGAAACAAAATCTAAATGACTGGAAAATACTAGATATATAATCTGAAGCAATGGAAAAAAGAAACTTAGGAACAAATGAGGTGAGTGTTGTTTAAACATATGAGATGGATTTTTAAGATGATAATGTACTAAGCAACAATTTCATTTGGTGGCCTTGTTTTGATGGTGTTAATATTGATCAGGATTATTATGCTGATCAACATAGGCTGTCTGCGCACTGCAGTGCCTAATCTTGCCCAGTCGTTCTGTTTTGTGCCAAATTTTAACATGGTTTGTATTCAGTTGATGGTTAAAAATAATATAACTACTAATAGTTGATAGTTGGACATTATGTAACTACTAATGAAATATATACATCTAAATGTTGCAGTAAGAAGTTAATGACATGTATCATACTTGGTCATCTTATTTTTCTGAATTTGGTTACCTTTACAAACTAGATACTTTATTTTGCAAGTGTTCTAAAATGTCAGTGTTGCTACTGTAAGGTGAAAGCACATCAGAATGCTGAGTTTCTAAACCTTGAATCAAACATACTTATTAAGTTGTTTCAAAAAATTGATGAAGTTCTTTGTGTGTAGTTTGTTACCTGGGCTTCCAACTAAGTGCCTATCGTCTGACTGGGTTTTACAATAGGTATATCATCCAAAATCACCTCAGCTTAAACCTGTAACTGTTAGTCTGTTAGTGCTTTTTTCTTTTTTAAATAGTAGCTGTCAGTAGTTACCTTCATATGGATGCACAAAGAATATAGAATAGAGAATGTTCTGATTTCTGAATCATTGTGATTTGCTATTTATGGCAGGAAGGCAGGAACTGTAATAAAAATAGTATGCAACTCAAAATTAGAGGATATAATGTTTCTGCTGCATGTATTTCTTAAATAATAAAACTAGGATATCAATTTGTGGCTCTTGTGAATAGAACCTCTGCAAGTATTACCTATTTTAATTTCTTAAATATCAGGAAACAGGAACCATATATACTCACCACCAGAAACAAGTGATTGTGGACACTGATGCTGGTAATAATAAAAGAAAAATTACAGCATTTCTTGGAGGGATCGATTTATGTGGTGGCCGATATGACAATCCAGAACATCCTTTATTTAAGACGCTACAATCCTTGCATAAGGATGACTATTACAATCCTACATTTTTGGTAAAATTTGATTCTTCTACAGTATATTGATTACATTCATGCATTTTAATTTGCTGCTCTTGCTATTTCACTCTCATGTTGCATAAAAGTGAAATGATTTAAATTTTAACACCTATAAAAAAGTTGGTTATAAGAGGAATTTACACAACTATTAAGGTATATAGCATCAAAATGGAAAAATGAACTGCATATTCTTGGACAACAAACCTAATTTAAGTAATTCAACAATGTTTCATGTAACAAATGGGTGAACTCCCAATAAACATCTACTGTTGCCTTTAAGAAACATTAGATTCCTCATAAACATCTACTGTTACCTGAAATTTATTCTCCTTTAGATTCAGGCCAAGCTTATGCTATCATAATACTAGTCTTGCTCCACATTTTTGGAACTTGAAAATGGTATACCATTTCTAGCATATATACTTGTCCTCTTGCTTGCTTTGTCTGACATATGTGCTGATAAAAGGGGAACACAGTTATCACACATGGAATTATCATCAGCTTCCATTATAGAAACATGAGTTCACTTGACCTTCGTATTTGGTAAGCTTCAACTTAAAAAGCCCCAAGCTTAGCAATTTTTTTGGGTTAAATCTTTACATTGAATTTCAGTCTTTGAGTGATCAGGATATATTTCACTTTAGAATTTGAGATCAGATTGTTGGATCGATTTGTAGGAATTTACAGGAGATTGACCTCAATTGGCCAGGAAATGGCTGGAATTGGTGTGGGATTGGATGCCATCCTTCAGAGTTCAGACCATTGCTAACACCTTAATATGAATTACCTTAAATGTTGCAAAAATTATTTTCTTTAAACTTTACTGAGTCAACATTTGAACAAACTGGAATTTTGTGACAGAGGATTCCTATCACACATAGGCTAATGTGACTTGAAAATTCAGATAGCAAACAATAAGGTTGCGAATGCTTGAAACATGTCAAGGTATTTCAATGGCCAAAATAACCTAGAGGTAGGTGTTTGATATAGAGGTGCGGAAAGGGATAGATAAACTATTGACCACTTTCAAAACAGTGACAACCTCTCAGTTGAGCTTTGAAGGTATTAAGCTTTGCCAAGATAATGTCAATGCATTAGGTTGTCGCATCTAATTATGTCCAGATGCAAATATAAAATGGTTGAACTTCTATTAATCTGGTCAGTTACTAACTTATAAAGATCTTGCATGATAATTGTTGTCATGGGTCATTGCTTGGGCACATGAGCCAGTGCCTAGGTAGTGAACAAGCCCCAGATTACTAGATCCTGCTGCGTAGATCAGCATATGGCAACAGCCTTACCTATTTACATACAAGAAAACATTGTCAATTTCGAAAAAACATGTAAGCAAAAGAAAATATTGATACCAGGAGTCAAAAAAAGAAGTATAACTTCAGAAAAATTAAAAAAATGAAGGAACTTATGAAATTTTAAAATCAAAGTTTTACTGCTTACACCATTGTAACTATTGATCAATCTCAAAAGATCATCATGTAAAATTTTGTTGTCAGTTATATTACTTTTCCTCTAATTTTCAAATTTTTATGAGAGATAAGATTTTAATCTATGTTAGAAAGTTAAGATTACCTTTGTCGTAAAATTTTCAATATTAGTCTGCTATTGATATTATTAACAGTAGATTCTTTAATTTTCTATATGCTTTAACAAAGACACAAAATTGTTCTATAGTTCTTGATGAAATTAGCAAATAAATATGTGAAAACCAAACAGTTATTGGTCAACTTCTTTTAATACATAACTTTTGTTTTCTTAGAAAAGTCATAATCAGCTTGGATATTTTTCCTATATTGTTTTGCTCGTAGGATTCTGATAACAGTGGTCCAAGACAACCATGGCATGATTTGCATGCAAGAATTGATGGTCCAGCTGCATATGATGTTCTGATAAATTTTGAGGAGCGTTGGTTAAAAGCTTCTAAACGCTATAGAATAAAAAATTTGAAGAAGTTGTCTGAAGATGCCTTGCTGAAGATTGAAAGAATACCACATATCATTGGGGTTAATGATTCAATGTATCTGAATGATAACGATCCAGAGACTTGGCATGCCCAGGTAGAATCTACCAATTTATGCTAGCTGTTATCTGATGTTCTTAAATGATCATTTGCATTTATAACTTTTTTTTTGTTTATCTGTTTCCATAAAAAAATCATAGGTTTTCCGTTCAATTGATTCTAATTCTGCGAAAGGTTTTCCTAAAGATCCAAGAGAAGCTACTCGCAAGGTATATCTACACAAATAGTAAGTCCATGGGCATTTACTGGGTTGCATATTCTGCAGTGCCACCTTCTAAGTAATGACAGCTGTGAGAACTTCTATCCAACAGAACCTCGTTTGTGGGAAAAACATTCTTATCGACATGAGTATACATACAGCTTATGTAAATGCCATCCGAGCTGCGCAACACTTCATTTACATTGAGAATCAATACTTCCTGGGCTCATCATTTAATTGGGATTCACATGAAGACTTGGGTAAGCATACATATGCTAGACATTCAAGTGATTGAATTTGCTTTGATGCATATATCATATATGTTCAAGGTGGGAAAATATCTAGGTTTGTGCGCTACATAAATTTTATCCATGACAATATTGGAAAATATCATCATGCACCCTGATAATAGAGTTTCATCTCAGTAGCATGGCTTAACAAGCTGACACATGGCATTCACCCATCGTGCAAATTTGTAAAAATATTTCAAATAACATGCTACATCTTTTAAGCATGGACTATTCCCTATGCTTCATATTTGCAGTTATTCTCGGAAGCAATAGAAATGGTATAGCAAATCTCTGTGAATTTGTATTAGAAGTTATTCTAATAACATTTGTTGGCCATCTTATATGCTTTTACAGGTTCTTCCACTAATAGCCTGTCAGATAAGAATATGCAGAATAGTTTATTCTCTACTTACAAATTCTCCAACAAAACTGCACAAACCATTTTGGCAGTATAAAAGTAAACAAAACTAATATATACATTACCTTTAAGCCTCTTAAGTTTAACATCCGTTTGGAAATGTCATCAATAAATCTGATATGCTGTTTTGGCAGTCAACATACCCATTTGCCATTCAAATTCATCCTATATCACAATGTCTGAGGTTCTTGATGTTTACACTTTACATTTAGTTCACTTGCAGATAGAAGGTATTATATCTTGTAGGATCTTGTCATTTATTGCATTGATCACCACTCAGAAATTTTACTAAGAACTTGTTCATGACAAAGTTTTTCTTCTTTAATTGCAGAGTTTTCATTTATTCTTCTTGCAGGTGCTAATAATCTGATACCTATTGAAATTGCTCTTAAAATTGCAAACAAAATTAAGGCAAATGAGAGGTTCTCTGCGTATATAGTTGTTCCCATGTGGCCTGAGGGTGGTCCAACCAGTGCTCCTATTCAGCGAATTCTCTACTGGCAGGTTATCTCCATCCAAAGCTACAAATACCTACTGGTATTTAGTATTTACTGGTCCAATCAAGGACATGGTCGATACCAATCACTATTTAATTTTTTATTTTTTCCAGTGATATCAGGTGGTGCACATCAGTCTGACTGGTTGCCAAAACTGGCATTGGACTGTAATTTAAGTACTTGTCCATCTACCTTGAGTCACATGAACACTAGAAAGTTTAAGGTTCTGTAATATTAGTGTTTATTCCTTTCTTTAGCTTGTCATTAGATTTTAAGTAGGTTGAAGTCTGTTTAAATATGTATCCTACATATATCTTGCTCTAAGATAGTGTTTCCTACATAGAGAATGATATTCTCTATATTGGCAAATCAATTTTATCACAAACATTCAGTCTTTGACAAGTAAAGTTTGATATTTCCTATTTTCTTTTGATAATTCTCTGTAGCCATTTTGTAATAGCTCATCTTGTTGCTCATTTTATTAGTATGTAGAGCTTGTGGCTTCTAACATTCCTGTCTTGATAATGGTCTATTACTTAGCTTTTGCATATGTTTTACATCTTTGAGTACTTATAATCATTTTATTGTACATCTTTGAGTACATGTAATCGTTTAATTGTACATCTTTGACTACTAATGATCATTTAATTTGTATCTATTGTGGCCATGATGACTATTATATATCATGCTCATGTGTCCACTTGGAAAAGAGTATGCAACTATGTTCACAAATATCTTAGTTTCTTAATGAAACTATATCATTTATACTTCTTTTAGAATCCTTGAGAGTCCAAGTGAATGCCAAAAGATTTTCTAGTTGAAAATAAGGGCTTGTCCTTTGCATTTCATAAGATAAGAAAGACCAACACAACAGGTGTATACAACACCACAAGGGTCAAAAAAGACCCCAACATACAAAAATGGTTTATCCCTTGTGAACATTAGCAAGACTGTCCCTGGCTGCATGAGATTATGAGATTAAGCAACAACCGGTGGAAGCTTTGCTCACCAACTAGTTTCTTAGATTTTAAACACAGTACACTATATGTTTCCTGGAGCATGAATTCCTTATATTGATGAATTAAAGCAGGAATGTAGAAAGATGTGGTAGAACAATAGTAGACTTCTTTAGTCTGATTAGTCAGAAAGAAATATGTTTATGCAGAGTGAGGCTCTTAACATACATATATATATATACATATATATATATATATACATGTATATATATATATATATATATATATGTATATATATATATATATATATGTATATATGTATATACATGTATATATGTATATATATATATACATGTATATATATATATACATGTATATATATATATATGTATATATATACTATATATATGTCTGATGAATTAAAACAGGAATGCAGAATGATGAACAAGGATGTCTGATTTGGAATAACAGAAGTGACACCCTTGACACTAAATGCAATAACATACATATCCCAGTGTATAAATATGAATCTACCAATTGGGTCAAGGGCTGTACCTGACAGTTAAGCCACTCAACACTCCAGAACTCTAAAGGGTGAGAAAATGTAAAAAAAGATGAACCTCAACTTTTTTATGATAAAATGATGGATTCTTACTCATAGTTTAATTTAGTAAGAAGAAAAGAAATGGGAAAAGGGGGAATACAACATAAGATTTTTATTCATTCTATAGGCCTACATCAATGGGCAAAGACAATCAACTCCTAATTATAACAAAAACATAAAATGAGAATCATCTCAATCCTCATATGCAGTTCTTGGAGCTCTAACTTCAGTCTCCACTATACAACTAAGACAAAAATGGCACAATTGACATTAACTACAAGTCTGCAACAAGGTACAAGTGTGAATCAGAACCAAGTGTACAATTGAAATAGTCAGCTACACTACCAACATGGTTTGGATTATCATATGCTAACTATTTAGTCAAATATGTTAATCGTCTGAACCAAGTGTTCTCAAGTAATAATCTGAAAGGAATAGCTCCAACTCATCAATAACCAGAAGTATTATTTGGGAATCTGGAATATTAGAGGACAGTTATAAAGTTCACAGAAACAAAACCAACCAGGCATGCTATAGATATTTCTTTACTTCTAGAGTGCAAGATTAAGATTTCTTCCAACAGGGAATTTAAAAGAGGGATATTATAACCTAGAATCTCAAGACCAAGTAAGCTAAGATGAACTTTTTAGGTCCAGTCATCTTAAGAAGAATATCTCAAAAAAAATATTAATAAAATAATAAGTACATGTATCTTTCACACAAATAGAGGTGCCACATACATGCATACATTCTTTTCATATGCTCGTGAGTCGACTGGTAAGTGACTATAAAATTAAAATAGACTGACCTTTTCAAAAGAATCTGAATATAATGCAAATTCTTTTGCCATAAAAGGTATAGATTTCGTAACCATCCAAATTCTATCAAATTTGTTCTTAAAACTGTTTTAGACTTTGTATAAAGTTCTCTGAAATCCTAATAAAGGTACATTTGCAGATGAGATTATGCTTCCATGTGCTTCTTTTATCAACTATTTCTGTTCTGGACCAAAAACACGTTCCATATGATTTGGATATCTACTTACTACTTAACTATATTGCTATGTTTTTGGCTATACACAACTAATTTCTGACATTTGCTGATACAATATATGTTGATCACCTCAGAAGAAAACTATGCAAATGATGTATGAAACAGTCTATACAGCTTTGAAAGAAGTTGGTCTTGACGATACTTATGAGCCACAAGACTATTTGAATTTCTTTTGCCTTGGCAATCGTGAGGCTCCAGACTTAGCTATCACAAGTCAGAATGCAACAGCAAACACTCCTCATGTAATTTTCCATCTCTAAGTGCAAATTTTGTGTTCATAAGTTATTCAATATGCTGACCTGAATCACACACATGATGCATATGTATGTATATATTAACCAAACACATTGCAAGTTATATTTTGTATCAGAAGTTTAAAATGCTTGTGTTGGTCTTGTTTAGGTTGTTTGCTATTCTATTGTCAACTGTTGAGTATTGACTATGGTTGAGTGCATTTCAAAATTTACTTGCTCCATTTAAACTTTTGTTCACTACATACTAAATTTGTGTACTTTCAATCCCTTGTATTATCATTTTCCTTCAACTTTCCTTCAAGTGAAAAACTGGACCTTTGACAGGCTTAGCTTGAACATTTGGCAAATGACGATAAATAGAGCAACTATATAATATACTTTAGTGTTCATGGTTATTTCTAATATGCTCATAGAATAAAAAGACTTGCATTAAGGGGTTTAATTATCAAGGTCACCCTCAAAATATAGCCTCCTTAATAAGGATTACAATACTGTATCATACCGCTCGATACGTACCGGTCAGATAGAGGACTGGTATGAGCAATACATCGGTACATCTTAGTGTACCGTGTGTTGGTATGCTCGGTACAGCTCGGTATGTATTGTACCGATAGTTGATCGGTACATCGATAAAGTATGGTATTCAGAAAGAACCTTGCTCCTTATTTATTGGATCTTTTGGCCTGAAACATCTATTGATATAACAATGAATTTTGGTCAATGCTTACTGAAGACTTGTATTTTGTTTGTAAATGTAATATGCATTGATAATGCATATCTTTGCAGTAGAGTATGTGCCTACTAATTACTATTCTATAACATGTTGCTGGTTTCATCAGGCACGTGCCAAGAAGAATCGACGCTTCATGATCTATGTACACTCAAAAGGCATGATAGTGGATGATGAATATGTGATATTGGGTTCAGCAAATATCAATCAAAGGTCCTTGGAAGGTACCAGGGATACAGAGATTGCAATAGGCGCATACCAGCCACAATATACATGGGCAAGAAAATTATCTGGTCCTCGTGGAGAGGTAAGAAATGTGATTGCAAATTTCATTTATCTTCTGATACTTGAGCAATATTACAGCCAATTTGTATTTTTTATGAATTATTTGTCTATAACATCTTAAACATTATTTATTATATTAGTAATGTTAAATGCTGTTGATTTGGATTCATGGACGAATATGTAGATCTATGGTTATAGAATGTCACTGTGGGCTGAACACATTGGATTTCTCGAGGAATGTTTTACACAACCAGAAAGCCTTGAATGCATGAGACGTGTCCGTGATCTTGGTAAACAGAATTGGAAACAGTATGTGGCTGATGAGATTACTGAAATGAAAAGTCACTTGTTGAAATACCCAGTGTTTGTCGACAGGAAGGGCAGAGTGAAGCCTCTCCCTGGATGTGAGACGTTCCCAGATATTGGTGGCAACATATGTGGATCATTTCTTGGTTTTCAAGAGAATATCACCATTTAAGTGCTCCAACACAATATCACTCTTGACCTCTTCTGGCACATCTCAGCAATTGGCCTCCGTTGCTTTTGTAGATTGCATAGACAGCAGAATTCTACACTGAGCAAATGTAACTTTGGCTTCATTCAGATGGAAATAGCATTTGCATTCACATCGATCTCACCTGTGCAATGTCACCAAGGGAATGGATCAAGATAGGTCTCGGCTACTATTTGGGTGTTATCCATACAAGAGAAGATTGCTTTCTTGCTTACAAAATTTTCTGCGATACTAATCCATTTATTTTAGTAGATAGAATGATCGAGTCCACAGAGATTCCACTAGCGTAGGGCCTTCCCATGTTACTCCTGGAAGTAGAGATGCTATTCTCGTGTGATTGCTAAAGACCCAAAGGTGCAGTGTATTTATGATGCCAAGTTCTTCTTCAATAAGCTTATTCTGGTGTTTAATGTAAATCTATGTATGATTCGGAGCATTGTCAATTCCAAATGTACATGTATGTATCCTTTTGATGCATATTCCTGTGTATGTATTTTATCAAAAGAGTTACACAAGCATTTGAATCTGGAACTTTATGTACTGCAGTATATTTATCACCTACCTACGATAGTTATCCATGTGGTGACGGCCAATTGGGCCTGGCCTTCCACGAACCAGGAGATCAATGGGCTGATCAGGAACTTGGGCCGATCCCTGTCTAACAGAACCAACCTCGCCTTCCGGCGCGATCGGGGTGTGAGAGAAGTAAACGGAGGCCGACGAGGAAAAGCGGCGACCGAGAGCAAGCAGGCAACAGAGAACCCAATCTACATCCAAAAGCCAAACCTAAGCAGAACGCGGGGAAGCAGAAGGAGAATCTCGCGAACGCTCCTCTGCTTCCCCCCTCCCTCGATCCCTGTCCTCTCCTCTACTCTACTCTTACCATTCACCCTCGAGATCTTTCCTTTTTTCTGTCCGATTCCCGGGTTTCAAATCTTTTCCTCGTCGACTGGAATCCATCCTTTCTTGGTTCTGTCCTCCTCTTCTTGGATCGACGGAGATGGAGGCGACCGGCCGAAATGGCAACAAGAGGATGCACCAGAGGTTGGGGCCGTCCCAGGCGACGGCGCCCGACCGCGCCAACAACAAGGTGTGCTACCACTGGCGGGCAGGGCGGTGCAACCGTCACCCCTGCCCCTTTCTCCACAGCGAGATACCGACGCCGCAGCAGCAGTCCGCGTCCCCGGATGGCGGCGTCGCGAAGCGGAACCTCGTCTGGAAGAACCCTAGCAACGCCGGCGCCGCCTCCGGCCCCCCTTCCAAGTGGGGGAAGGGGCGTGGCGGAGGCGCTGTCGGGCGACCCCCTGGCAAAGCCCCCGACAGGGTTTGCAATTATTTCCTGGCGGGGAATTGTACGTACGGCGAGAAGTGCCGCTTCTTGCACTCGTGGTTCGTCGGCGACAGCTTCTCCCTTCTGACCTCACTTCAGGGGCACCAAAAGGTGATTTCTTTGGCTTCCTTGGTATTGATTTTGTGGTTTCATTGTCGAGCTTTTGTTCAGTTTTCAGTACCTCAAATCAGGTGACGAATGTTTGCAGGCCGTGTCTGGTATCGCACTTCCTTCTGGCTCGGACAAGTTATATTCTGGAAGCAAGGATGAATCTGTGAGGGTTTGGGATTGCCAGTCTGGGCAGGTACAGATGCTCTTGTCGTTCTTTTTTTTTTTCCCCTGAAGCCCAGTGTCATAACCTCGTAAACCCTTTTACATGTGTTTGGGGTAGTGTGTTGGAGTCATCAATGTGGGAGGTGAAGTTGGATGTATGATCAGTGAAGGGCCCTGGATATTTATAGGAGTTCCAAATGCTGTCAAGGTTAGTTACATTTTATAATCTTGTTCTTCTAGGCTTCTTTATTGATTGCAGTTATGTTCTTGTCTTTGAATGAGGGGAAATCATATTGAATTTGTTTTTGGGTGGTGTGACAGGCATGGAACATGCAAACTGCAACAGATCTAAGTCTTGATGGCCCAATCGGACAAGTTTATTCCCTGGTTGTTGGCAATGAATTGCTCTTTGCTGGCACTCAGGTAGTTTTCTTATCATTGATCTCTTTGTTTTTTTGATACTTAATTTTAGACATTGTGTTATCTTCAGGTTTTTTATAATAACTTCTAAATCTAGTCTGCTTTATTGATAATAACAATGTGCTATCTTCAGGTTTTTGATAATAACTTTTAAATCTGTTTAACTTATGCCTGTGTTTCTGCTGCAGGATGGACGCATATTGGCATGGAAATTTATTGCCGTAGGAAACTGCTTTGAACCAGCAGCATCTCTTGTTGGGCATCAACTTTCAGTAGTTTCATTAGTGGTCGGAGCTGTGAGGCTTTACTCTGGTTCTATGGATCACATGATAAGAGTAAGAATTGTGCCATCTTTCATCAAATATCTTTAGTGTTATATGATTTTAACCTCATCCTTGGGTTAGTGAGCTTGATATATTTTTTCCTGTTCACTCTCTAGGTATTAAGTATTTGTGAGATCTCACTTTCGCAAACAGTACTATATAATTCGAACATAGGAAGCTAGCCCATTCTTGCCTAGAAAAAACTTCATCCTTCTCTTATACTTTTTTTTTTGTGGTTGTAGACAAAGTTTATTTTCTCTTTGATTTTATTTGGATTCTTTAACTTTCCAACTGATGCTTCTTGGGTTGATGTGGTGAGATGAAGAGTTTCCTGTAATCTTAATACCTTCTATTGTTTTCTGTGGTAAAGCACTGATGTTAGAAGTGTGGTAGAGAAGATGTAAAATATTTGACAATGAAAAGCACTGATTCTTTATTATTATTATTATTATTATTATTATTGTAAAACATGTTTTCTAAATCATACTGCATCTTATCTTTCAGGTGTGGGACCTTGCAACCCTACAGTGTATCCAGACACTTACTGACCATACATCAGTTGTCATGTCAGTGCTTTGTTGGGATCAATTCTTACTATCGTGTTCACTGGACAAAACCATAAAAGTTAGTTTTCATTTATATTTTTTCTATGTATTTGAAAGAAATATTTCTTTTGTTTTTAGTCTCTATTTTGGATTGCTCACCTTGCAGCATTATTAATGTTTTCTGTTTATGTCTTCTTCTTTTTTTCTGTGCAGGTCTGGGTAGCTACAGAAAGTGGGAACCTAGAAGTAACGTATACTCACAACGAAGAGCATGTAAGCACTAGATAGCTATAGAAGAAACTTTGGACATTGGATCACAAAAACCATAACTTCGTTGGTTCAATTTTTATCTAAGTGATCTGGGATAACAATTGTTGCCTCATGAGTTTTATTGCTATTCTTTGATATTTGTTATGTGAAGTTTAACTAATTAGGATTGCTTAGTGCTTCCTTTCTTGTAGTTGTGATGATATTAGATTTTGAATAATTTAGTTGCTGATTTATAGGAATTTTTTAATTTCTTTAAATAGCTTAAACCATTCAATATATTGCAGAAAAATTGGAACATCAGTCAGTTGAAAATTCAATTTAAAAAAATTAGCCTCATACCACATCTAAGAAACTAATTTCATGGTTCATTATTTTATTTAATATGGTCCTTTGGTTGTTATTTCAGGGGATCATTAACACTTTTAAGCCTTTTCTTGTCTGTTGGATGTGAGTACATATGAAAATAGAAACAGAGGATATATGATTGGATATGTATTGAAAAGTTAAAGTTGACCATAAGATTAGCCATTTTGGAAGATTATTCAAATATGTATCATTGAACTCTTGCCAAAAGTTCTAGCAATACTGGAGTTGTGTCACCTGAACAATGTATTCTGTGGTGTGGTGGTTGCACAATTGCTGTCCCACTGAAACAGGAAATAAGAGAAGAAAGTGAATGTAAATCAAAAGTGGTAGTGACGACTCTCCTCTTTATCTCCAGCCTTTCTACTTTAATCTGGATTTGGTAAGGCAAGGCAAGGCTTGTGAGACGGAAGACAAGTTAAACAATATGGACTTACATGAGGATCTGAGGCAAGAAATTCTCAGCTGGAATTCTCGAGGGGTGAGGGCATGAGATGAGGTGGTGGCGAGGACTCTCCACACTTTTCCACACACCTCTCAGGAGGTTCTAAGGCAAGGTGAAGCTTGTGAGTTCGCAAGTGGCAAGCTCTCAGAAGGGATGATGATGCTCTGTGAAAGCCTAAAGTTGAAGGGTTTAAAGCTTTTGGACCAAACATATCTACTCTGTTATTCAAAGGGCTTTTGCCACCTTTTAGAGATCTGGTTCGGGCTTATAATGTGAGTTGTTTCACCTGTGATGTTAGTGTTGGATTTTCAAAGAATGCCGACTCAGTCTATTTCATCTGATCATGGGAAAAAGTGACGGGGACTTGAATATTTGCCTCCTGGAATTATGACATTTGCTGTAAATTTAAGTATTTGAGGACATTGGTATATTACATGGATACAATGCCATTGAAATAGTCATAAGAGACTTAAAAAGTTTCTCAAGTTATGATCTGCCCAGTTGAAGCTTGTTTTCTAAATACGAGTTTCTAACTGTGATATAAATTTAATGCTTAAAGGCGATGTTAGATATAGGAGGTGTATGGTGATAAGTCCTGATTGATCTTCGTTATCAGTAGATGAAATATTGTTGTCTATGATGTATTTGGAGCCATAGTTCCTTGGAAAGTTCTACTGTACAATCTTTTAAATCAAACTTGGTATATTGTCAGAGTAGCTTCTGACAAGAACAGGATTGCCACTTGAAATGGGAAGAGTATGTGCAGTTGATTTGCATTTAAGAGATGACAAAATAATAGCCAAAGACTTTCTTTCTTTGGGACCGAGGATACATGGAACAGGTTGGAAAGTTCTAGGAGATTTGGGGTGAGTTATAAATTTAATTTCTCACTTGAGTGTTTATCTTCTTATCCAAGCATTCAACATTATGGTTCTTGTGTAGAGCACCTATGCTGTCTATTGGTTTTATTGGACAGTGAAAGAAAGCATTTCAAAGTCTATAAAATGTCTAAGATTCTGCTAATCTGAAGTTTGATTAGTAAATCTTCTATATCCATAGTAGTAGTGTGTACAAACATCCAATGAACCATTTATGTACATCTTATGCTCCTGGTTAAAACATGATGTATTATTCAAGGCTTGTCGTTTTGATAATATGTCAGACTAGTAAATACCAGTCAGTACCGGTACACCATGTGTCAGTATATCGGTATGTTACAATGTTTTGGAGAGGAAGAAAAAGAAGGAGAACAGGAAAGAGCGGTGGAGGAACAGAGGAGGAAGCAGGAAGAAGGGAGACAATGGAGGAGGAAGGAAGAAGGGGAAGCAATAGAGGAGGAGGAGGAAAAAGAAGACAGAGCGACGAAGGATGAGGAGGAGGAAGATATGGGAAGAAAACAGAGCTGTGGAGGAGGAAGACGAAGAAGATGGAGCCACAGAGGAGAAGGAAGAAGAGTATAGGAGGAAGAAGACGGAGCTGTGGAGGAGGAGAAGGAAGCAAGAAGAAGAGAAGATGAGGGTGTGTACCAGAGAGAAATGACATTGGACGAGTGAGCGACATCCCGCGGCAGCAACAAACAAGCCGGCAACGTCCCGCAGCTATAGTGAATGAGCAGGCGATGCCCTGTGACGGTAGCAAATGAGCAAACGACGTCCCACAACGACAACGATGACATCAATGACAACGGTGTCAGGTAGCAAGCCCTTATCGAGTGGCATCACTTATTTTAGGGTTTATATGTTCTTATATAACATTTTGATCGAACTGTCCGAAACTGGAACGTTCTGTGTAGTGGTCCATTCTCGTACCATTACATACCATCCATTTTGTACCATTTTGGATGATACGACAGTCCTTGGTATTATTAGTTCTCAAGAAACTTTACTATTTCACTGTTTCTTTGAGAAGTGTACATTTTCATCATCTAGAAATTATATATAGAAGTGGTGGGACTCGTGCCTCTATTGGATGTATGATGTGTGCTAAGCTTGAATTCTGGTGAGCCTTGTTTGTTACCAGTGGAATCTATCGTATGTCTGGTCACACCACAAAGACAATCTGGGAAAATCCGAAATCAGTTTTATGCTTAGTCTCCATTGTTTTTATATCTGAATTGTGGTGACTTATTTGCTTGTCTGCTGGATCTAGTTTATATTTATAAGTATCAGCAAAATCAAGAATCTATCAGTTTGGCCAAGCACGCACATGATGTAGTATGAAAAAGAAAATATTAGAGTTGGACATCCTTCTCCTGTTTAAGTAGTAATAAAGATGTTATTATTTTAAAGTCTTTCAAAAGCTTGTTCAGTGTGCATTTGAATGGAAAGATTCTGTCACTATGACCAGTTTTTTAAAACCACATCTCGTAAAGGCTTTTTTAATCATTCTTTCAGATGGTGGATTGTTTTTTTCTTGGCCTTTACTACATTTGTGCTTCATGTGTTACCGGTTTATTGGTGCAATATGTTTCTAGCAAAATTTTGTTAATTGATGCTGTTTTATGTTTCAGGGAGTGCTTTCTTTATTTGGTATGCTTGATGCTCAAGCGAAACCCATCTTATTATGTTCTTGCAATGACAACAGTGTCCGCCTCTATGACCTGCCGTCGTACGTTGATATTGATATAGTCACTCCTTAAAAGTATCTAATGCTTATCGAAATGCTTATTATATTAAGAGGTAAATTGTTTTTCTCATTTTGTAGATTCAGTGAGAGGGGTAAGATCTTCTCCAAAGAAGAAGTTAGAGCCATGCAAGTTGGACCTAGTGGTTTATTTTTTACTGGGGATGCCACAGGTGAAGTTAAGGTGTGGAATTGGTTACCCAATGAGATGCCACATTCATGATGAGAGTGAGCTGTTCTTTCTATTTATAGTATCCTCTCATGTATGATAAACAACAGAAGTGAGAGTTGTGCCTGCCATTTTTATCATCTTGGCCATTGATCCTTAATTACCTGCCTTCCAAGTACTTCTCATTGATAGAAATCAAATCATGAGGTCACTGGCTGCTGCTAGTTGGCCATCACTTGGAATACATTTAGCAGACAAGTAGTCTGATTTCGGGTAGTTTGGATAAGCTGTCAAGTCAGCAAAGAACCAAATTCAATCCTGCATTATTTCAGTGTTTTACAGATCTCCGAATATCATACTAAAACAAAATATGGTGAAAGGGATACATTTCAAATCAGTGTATTTACTCATTGGCATTTTGGCACTTGATCAGTGGTTATCCATGGTCTCATGCACCATTGTAGTAGCATTTTTCTGGATTAAGAACCTTCACTATGGTAGTGTATTTATGAACTAAGAATTTCTTTTGCGTGACATATGGAACAAGGATGAAAATAAGTGATCTTTGCATTTGTCGGTGCACAAAATTGTTCCTCTTGCAAAGAGTTGTATTTTCCATCAGCGTGACGTTCTTGTTACCAGATACAACTGTTAACATATGAGAAGATAGATGCTTTTTTCCATCTAATCTATTCTTTGCCTGGGAGTAGAAACTGTGAAATCCAAATCATTTGATGGCCTTTCTCATCTAATGTATTCTTTGGATCTTTGTTAAAATTCAGTAGGATGTAATTAAGTGACATATTGGACCGCAGCCAAGTTCGTCCATGGCTCTTCCTGGTTCGAAGTTTCTTGTATACTTAAACACTCTTATGGTACTGTTGATCTCCATATTTAGCATAACCTTGTTCAACAACATGTAATGGAGGCATTCCAAAATTTTGCATCAAATTTACTTGTCTGGAGAGTGAAGGCCTTAAAGTGTAATTTTTTTTATTTTTATTGCAGGTTTGATATTTGTGTTTTGAACCAAATTCTTGGTCAGTTGGAAGCATATACATATCTCAATTGATGTGGTGTCAGTAGCTAACAATGGGCTAAAGAATAGGGGATAAGAATGACTGTGGTTGATTTAGTTATAAATCTTCATATTTTACATCAAACTCTACTTGTTGCAGCTTCCACGTAAAATTTCATCCCCTTCTCTTATTGTTTGGCTGGCATTTGTAGTACCCCTCACCATCTTTATATTTTCACAATTACAGCACCTGCATTAGCAATTAGATGCCAACTTGAGAGGTCTGAATCCATAACATATCTTCCTGAGTGAACCTGATTCACAAGGAAGTGACAAGTTTGTTTGGTTCAGTCAACAGCTCTTTCGTCACTTGACGATTGCGTCGAGTGTCGAAAGGATCGTTCGACATCGGCATAGATGTAGAACGATGAAAGGGTTGTTCAACATTTAAAATTATCTTGCTGTCTTTTGTTTTCAAAAGACAGGGATGTCAATATAATTTTTAAAAGTATAAATATTAAGATATTAAAGATAATTAATTACATTGGATAATATATAATTAGCTTTTCTGAAATAGAGAAATTTTAGGTTCAAAAGAATACGAATTCTTTGGCTAATGCAAATTTATTGAGCCGCAACTCATGTATATGCTGAATTGATGTGAACGAATGTTTTTGAAATCCCAAACCAAACAAGATAGTGAGTTTTAGAGTCTTTACTAAAGAATTTGGATAAATATTGCCAATGAAATTTCTTATCCATGACAAGCTTTGGTATCACCTTAAGATTGCTTCTTTATCCTTGCGAGTATAAGACTTTGTGTGTATGTCGGCAGAAGGACACAAGGTTTGCATGCCCGTAAACTCCAAAGCCGGAGGAAGCTTCCTCTCGAGATAAGGTAACTACTGCTAAGTAGATAGCCAACATCCCGGCCGTCAAGCACATGCCTACTCTTTGCTCCAACTGCTGCTGAACACTGTATCATACTAATCAACTATAGGGACAGTCAAAGGCTAATATGATAACATTTTATTGGGATCTCGTTGTGCAAAGGCTAATATGATAACAGTCAAAGCCTAATATGATAAGTCTTCCATCTCGAGGTGACTGTGTGTATATATGTAAATTACCATTGACTGCACTCTACTACGTTCTTTCAGCAAGTGTTCCAATAGCGTTGCTCGACACAGGCAATGGGGAACAAGCTGTTACGGAATCTTGAAGTAGAAGAAGACAACATTCCAACCTGGGCAGGGCTTGGAGTTAACGTAGAGGACGGTGACAGCGCCGTGCACCGATGAATCCCGACGAAGAGAAGGAGCAGTGAAGGTTCGCGAGGCATGGGGTCACCCGGCACGATCCACGGCACGAATTCTCTTGCTTGTCGTGTGTAACCGAGTTAAGGTGCGACTTGAGCTCCCACTTATGATGACGAGGCACAATGAAGTAGTGGTATTTTATTGTGCCCTGGAAGGGGTAGATTCGTCACTCAGAGCGGTGTTTGATCATTTAGCTTGGAGTTTGCTATTTAAAGGCCTTTTTTCACAATTAATTTTTCAAAAAAGTAATAAAATAATATTTTTATTATTCATAATCCTTTTAATTTTAATTTTTGTTTTTTTAAAAGATAAGATTGATAATTGAGATATTATGAATAGTAAAAATATATATTTTTTAAGAATTTTTAATAGTAAGGGGGTAAGCTTTAAAGTTTTTGGAGAAGACAGTTTATTGTTAACGTCATAATTTATCTCATGATGTCCGATGTCACTTGACAAAGAAGAAGACTCTATTCTAATGTTATTCTAGCATTCGATACTACTCGATACTTTCAAGGGTGTTCAAATTGAATCGAAATATCATATCGAATCAGAACTAAATTTAAACCAAATTGATTTGGTTCGAACTAGTTTACCAATGGTTCAGTTTTGAAGACTAGATGATTATGGTTCAAGAGCACATTTTTTGGTAAGATTAATCGATTTGAATCAAACCGAATTGATTTTAATTTAAAAGATATGAATCCGATTGAATTCACACCCTTAAATTATTCAAAATTGATTAATCAAACTAGCTCAAAGGCTCAAGTTTATAAATAACATTGGCTCGATTTTCTAAATATTATTGTATCACTTAATTGGATCAAGATTTCAATTCGGTTCAATTGAATTGAATCAATTCATTTGAAAAAATATATATATTTTTTAAATTATTTAAAATTATAAATCGATTAATTGACTGGAATAATTAGTTTTGAATTAGGTTAGTTAAGTATATTTGGATCGATTTCTATTTGGACTATCTCACTTTAATAAAATCAAATTAAAAAAAGGGTTGATTTGGTTCAAACTAATTTGAACGCCCCTAATACCACTCTATCATCTAATATAGGTGGATAAGGATATCACTCAAAACTTGATACCACTCAATGACCCAATGTAGGTGGAACTCGACAC